AAGTTATTGTGCTTACCACAGCGGAAGATAGATAACTGGGACAGCATAGGAACTTGGTAGGTCTTCCCATCAGCTCCATAAAAAGGACGTTTCTTTGTATTTTCAGGTCGAAATCGTGATTTCCATAAGCCCTTGAAATACACAGCATTTACCAGAACCAATCTGGTCAAGCTACCATCAATATCATCTGGAGCTACAACTTGATCAATCATACCTAAAAAACAGTAAGGACAGACTGAGTATGTGCTGTCATAACACCAGCCAACCGATCCCAAAAGCTACTAAAACACATGTTACTTCAATCTTTGATCTCTGAATGTACCAGCTACTTGTGGGAAAATGCATTTGAGGGCAGCAGTTTCAGATGAAGTTTTACCATTCATATATTGCTTATAACATTGCTATGCAAAGGTTGTGACACCACAGAGGAAGTCTGACACCCTCATTTTCCATGTACCACATTCAGTGCTATTAGGAGCACACTCCCCACATTCAGGCAGCACTGGTTTAAACTCCAAGAGATACCAAACATGGAGTTTATCTAAGCTATGAATGAATATGTCATAAGAAAATCTCTGGCTTTAGCAGATAAGCCCAACAGCTAGATGTCAAAAGGCTTGAACCATGAAAAATTGTTAAGGGAGTGTTGATTGAAAATCTTCCACTATATGTGACCCTGAAGAATATTACCACATCTTGCAAGAATTTGGGGTAATAAGAAGATGTAGAGCAGTTCAGCCTTTATTATTAGAAATCAGATTTATTGTGGCAGAGGTTTTCACACATATTGTGTTTCAGAAGGCATAGCTCCAGGACAGTGCTGTTTGGATATCTTGTAGGTTGGCAGAAAGCAAAGATCACTAGAAGCTCCTCTGCTCCCATGAAGAAAGCCACCACCCGAGCCACCACGGATAGCCCTCAGGGCAGCCAGGCAGCATTATTTGCCATGGCATTGGCACTGCAGGGTTCCTGGCCCACTGGCTCTAAATCACCACACCTGCACCCAGTTTAAGAACACTTCTCAGCTGCAGGGCAGAGTTTCTTCCTCCCCTTCTATCTCTGAGATGTCTCAGAGATGTCACTTAGCAGCCATGCCCAGAAAACATGTGCCAATACTCACCCCTCGTTTCATTTTTCACCCACTGGTTAATGGAATCACATGCTGCATTTGGGTCCTCGAAGTCCACGCTCTTGACACTGCACTGAAACACCTCTTTGTTCCTTGTAACAAAAGGCACTTCCATTTTAAAGCCATTCTTTGCAAATACTGCATTAGCAATTGTAACAATGTCTTTATTCTTTTTTGAGACTATGAGCCTGTTTATCTTCTTTAACGCTTTACCAACTCCTAGTTGGAAAGAACAGCAAGTTTAATTTAGAATAAGATGACAAATGAACAGATTTTATTCAGCTATTAATGACATGAAAGGTCAAACATTTAAAGTGCTAGGGTAGAACACAAGTGTCAAAGCAGGGGAGAGCTTACACAACACCCATTTCTGGTCTCTCACCTGAGAAATATCACCGCTCCCAGCTGAAGTGCTACCTTCACCACGACATCTGCTCCCTGCCTAGCTGTCTACACAGACTGCTATAGATAATACCAGAGAAAAGACCAAGTCCTGATGTGCTATTACTAAGCACCTTCTTCCAAAGTGTATTTCATGCTGTTTAAGTCCAGGTAACTTGTCAGTTACACTGCTATGACAAGTCAAGGCAGGCCTCAACCTTCTCATCCAAGATCAACAGGCCTGAAGAATTACACAAGTGGTCTTGAGCCCCACTGTAAAGCAAAGGTTGTTTTCTTACCATCCTTTCCATGTACCAGAGAATAAAAGAAAC